TTCAAGAGCAAACGGCAGCGCCTCCCCAGGTAAAAATTTGGGTTGACATATTTGTGGCCATTGCATGTCGACGGCAAGCAATGTTTTAATTCACAATTGCGTGGACAGCGAGTGCTCTGCTTTATAAAGTATACCATCAGTTGTCGTTGCTATATATGTTCCGTTTATCAATGGTTCGGGGGAAAATAGTGTGTTTTTCCATGATATATATACTTCATAATGTATTAAATATACTTACAAGACCTTGAGTCAAAGCAACACAGCATACAAGCATCACGATATCTGTACCATGAACTTTACAGTGTATCCAGTATTCATTGACTGCGTATCGAGAGAAATGTGAATAGTCTAGTGTGTCCTGTCTGTGAACAGTGGCATGCTCTGTCTTGCATCTAATAATGTATGTATTCATCACAAGGAGTCTCATCTCGAGATGTAAATTGAGCTCAACGTACGGACACAAGGACTACGTCATATGAGTGGACTAATTCACTGAGATCGATGCCTTGTTTTATCGCAAGTTCCAAAGAGTGGTGCTAGACAATTTATTATTTCGACAAAAAACTTATATCGTTTGCTTGTCTCACTAAAGTTGATTTTTTGTTCAGTAAAAATAATACTTAATTACGCAAGGTCAACATGAATTTCAGCGACCGTACAGAACTCCCTGGATCGAGCAAACAAAGCATGCATATTGCTGGCAACAGATATTTTGTACTCCGCAGTCTCCTACACATTTGGAAATATTAGAATTTTTGATTTTCGATAAAATCTTCGGGTGGATACCTAATATTAGCTTGCACGTTTTTTCCATACCAGATTAGTACTCACTACCACCTCAAAACATTTATTCGTGTTCTGACATCCCACGCGCGCTGTCAATTGAGAGGCAAAACAAGCAGCACTCTGTGACAATGCCTTTAATCAGCGACGCCCTGACTACAGACGGACAACGAACGCCTTTATAGAGGAAATCAATCTCGAACGGGCCACCGGAAACGATGCACTCGACGGGGTAATGGCTCTTTAAATCCGTGACTTCGCTGCCGCCCGATTCCTTGCTAATTGAGATCTGCCGAGACAGGATACGATTAGGGTTTCGAAAAACTCCCTCCTGTGAGTTTTCGGGGATTCATCGCATAAAATTCTCCGTTTTTGATCGGCCTACGGTCAGCTGATGTAAACGTCAGCCTAATTTCCAAAATGATTAAAGAATTAGAGTCATTGCAAAGGGACAGTCTTTATTTGGGGTATGAGTCTTTCCAAAGGCTGAATTCATCTAAATCTGGACAAGAGTTATCAGAAATGGAATTAAACCAAAGTTCTTTTTTTCTTGTTATGGATCCAATACACGTATTAGAGTTAAATTTCCATAACGTCGTGTCTATGATTATTGCGGAACACATCAGCATCAGCTATAAAGAGCTTTATGACGCACGCTGCTCCTGAATACAAAAGTACGTTTAATGTCACTCACTGCTTTGATTACACCAGTTTCTTATGGCCTAAATAAGTCTATTCTCAGTACTATCATTGTTCTCAAAGTTATTCCTAGTATATTATAATCGTCATTACATTTTTACTTTTCTTCTTTCTGCGTGAAATTACATCTTTAACTACATCCCATCAGTGACTTTCACTGTCTCAGGTAAATGCTTAGAGAGTGCCCGTATTTTAAAACGAACTTACCACAAACTTTACGCGCATTTATTTATATCTGTATTATATTTAGATTCGCAAAATGCGGTAAGACAATAATGCAGTTAACCGAGCGGATATCTTCACTTGGCAGGAACTCCAAGTTGATAAACGCAATCGGTTGTGATCTCAATTAATTTTTTACTTACATCATAAATATAACGATTTATTAGGCTCGCAATTTATTAGACAGGATTTTTCAATATAATACCTAAAACAACATATTTGCTGCAAAATTCACTACTCAGAAACTTTACGAAAAGTTGTTTGATTGATCATTTTCCAGACTCTTTGTACAAAAGAGTGGCCCGATCGATAAGGATGTTTGTCCCTTCGTCACAAAGCCACCGCATAGAGCAGAGTCAAAATCTTGAAATCTAACCTATACAATAACAAATTATAATCGGGATTTAATGGTTAAATTCTATCTCAATATAGTAAACAACCACACCAGCCTATTGATACTAATAACATTGACTACTTTTAACGTTCTAAAGTAGAAATTGATAAATGTTATTTCCGATCCGTAACGACTATTTAATGGAAGTTTAACTAAAACTTGTATCTTTTACACATGCATCTCATATCACGAGAAGAAGTTACACTTTAAATGCATCAGGTTGTTGCATTCATCCTACAAGCAAGTAAAAATTAGAGCCGGCCACGCAAAAACCGTCATTTTCTGAACTGGCAAAATCGCCTTATTAAAGATGCTCCTCAGTTACCAAAATGCTCTGATTATTCACCCGCCAAAAATATAAGCATCCCAAAAATCTTTGCTGCTGGTTAAGCCAAATTAGTCAGCTGGTATTTTATCAAATAAAACGAGGAGAAAAAATTCTGAATTGGAGGCTCGCCTCGAGGATCAGCGCTTGAAATAAAACTCAAATGGTTCCCTTGACGGGGAATTTCTTGACTCTGAAATAGAAGGAAAACCAGCGCCGAATCTCTTAGGAATTAATGGGTGTGAAAGGAGATCCCCGTCACAATTAAGTCTCATAGTCTGAGAACGTCAGCTAAAAGTATGACATTAAGACCTATATAACAAATTTAATAAGGCAAAAAGTAATAAAGCAAAAAGGCAGACAAAGTTCACAAAAAGCCCAAAATCTGAGAAAAATAATTTTAAACTTTAATTTTAACCTAATCGTTGAACTAAGTTTTCCCACATTTCGACAGTCTCTAGTTTAGCAGAAAAAATCATGACAATTTTTATTGGATTTCTTTAACGTTCGGCCCAATTTCTAAAAGAATTTTGTGTTCCATATTGTATTAAAAAGCATGTATTAGTAAACAAATTCATCACATTTCTTCTAGAATTTTTTTAACAAAATCAATTTCAAGGATGGAAGGCCACAGATCAGCCTCAAAACAATACATTTAAATTGTTTCAGAGTTTTATAAATTCCTATCAATGCAAGAAATAGAAACGGTTGGTGATGTAGCAATATAATTTTCATCTCATTTGGCAGTAAATAGCAGTCCAGCCTCTTTGATCCCCACGCCTGCTGGAAAAACTGGTGTTGCATGTGTCAGGACAGACAGACATCTAATATCCGCAGCAATGCATTAATCTCTTAAATTATTACTCCGGATATTTTATGACAAGTCTGCAATCAAAGAAGAACTTACCTGCGCCTAAAACTTAAAATATGAAAACATAAATAAATATAATAAACAAGTCGGTGCAGGACCTAGCAGACGTCAATTGGGTGGCATAAATTCTTTGGATAATTCCGTGCTCACGATATGTCTTCATACGTTTAAGTCTGGGTTAAAATTGAAAGCATTAATAGTCAATTTGGCGCATGCTAAACTGTCACCCCAAACTGTGGATATGTTAGTGTTGAATGTGTTATAGAAGCACTTTCTCCCTGTCATAGTGGAGCACGTGTAGATTACGGAGTAAGTATTTATACAGTGTTAAACAAATTTGCACATCCGAAAATTCGCTGTCAATAGTAGTTACAAAAACATGTCCAAGTCTCATCGTATCGAGACTACATGTGAATTTCCCAGAGTTGGAGGCACACAATCAATGCGGACATAATAGTTAGAAGCCATGTGATCTACGTACGACGCCGGCAGTGCTTCCAATGATCAAGTTAGCTTTACCAAAAAAAAAAAAAAAACATTGATACTAAAAAAAACACTTACCTTAGGTAGTTGTCAGCAGGAAACTGACACCGCGTTGTCACGGTGTATTTTAATTCAATAAAAGTAAAACTATTTATTGTTCTATTGCATTAGGAAGCATTTGTTGTGGATGCGTATTACTCATGCTAATTTGGTGTGGTTTTTTTTTTTTTGTACAACCTATATCAAGATGATGTGTGATTATAAAGATAAGCGCAATAAAAATTAAGACTTGGATGATTTGAATATTAGTAAAACCGAATAACCACATGATCATGACCGTCGCGAGTAAAACCGATTCCTAATGTAACTGACATGTTTTCATTCACTGTGTAATGTGAATATGTGCAAAACGTTTAGCTATATGGACAAGTACGTCTCGAAGTAAACAACTTTATATGCTAGCAAACCTGCAAAGTATTTACATACAAAATTTGCGCAAATCAATGAGTATGGAAGAGTGTATACTTTGAATTAATAAGCTTGAAATGAAATATTTGAGTGCATGTGAGGAATGAAGTCTATTAAAGCGGAAAATCAATCTGCTATTAGCTCAACTTCAATTGTACTCACGATGCATCACAACATGATGTACAGCATGATGTACAACATGATATACTACATGCTGTACAACATGATGTATCATCGTGCAGCAACAGTGTAATGATAGTCAACTGCAATTCCGGAATTAGTTAACAGAACCTTCGTACTTCAAGTAAGAATTGGACAGATTTGCAGCGATTCAATGAATTCTCCCATTTTTATTCGGGAAAACGTTCTAGTGAATAATTTGGCAATTACTGAAAATTTGAAAGCTATTTGACAGGGTCAGAATTAAATTGTTAAAAGTAATATGCACATTCTAATAAAACGGAGTACGAAGAAATGTTTGAAGTCGCGTGAAAATTGTGATCAGATGGTAAGATAAATCAGCAAGGTATATTTGCAATCACAGGCTAAGGTGTAAGATGTCATGCATGCGTTGATATCCCAATAACCAAGCGAATCGTGAGGATAAATGAGGCTATACGCAAACCGAGAGCCTGAAATGTGCTCCACGTGCCTCGATGACTTTGGTTCCCAAAGCAAGGATAAGCTCAAGCGTCCCAGGATGGCTGCCAAGCTCGGTTGTAAGCAAATAAATGCACGTGAAAATATGATCTTACCACGGGCGTCGGACAGTACTCTTCAATCGAAGTGGCTCGCTAAAAAGAAAACAAAACGAGTTAGGAAACACTGAGCACACGCACGCGTGGCCAAGAGAGAAGTACGAGGAGGGTGGTAGCTATCAACACTGTGCATGAAATGTACTGTTATGTAATTAGGCTTAAATCGTAGATGTTAACTACCACACTGAAGAACGTCATTTATCAGTTAATTGCATTAAGATTTAACGACGATCAGAGCAAAGGTTTTTGAAATAGCCGCAGATATTTTCAAACGTTACTGACATTTATTATAGTTTCAATATCAAATTACCGTTCGATTTATTATTGAAAGGTTCAAATGACAGTTGATAGATACCACTCTGGCTCAGCACGATGATGCTACATACACGGGACAAATTTCTACATTGTTAGCACAAACGTCAATACTACACTGCAAACATAAAGCTTCTCACGTCAAAAAATCAAGACAAACTTTACTATAAACTAGCTACTAAATTAAACATTCAACAGAGAGACCAATAATAGGTATTAACAGTGCTTTTTTTCACCCATTAGTGCACTAAGAAAATACCAGCAAAAATAATATACACAAAAAAGTTATAGCACACAAAAAAATTAAAAAAAAACATAAAAAAGACGATTATCAATGAAAGTGACGGTGAATGAGAAGATATGAAAAGTGAAGTGCAGCATGCCTCTACACGTGAACAACGACAAGTCTACAATGAACGTCTAGTGAAACATTTACCTTAAAATACCTATAAGGGGAGAGCCATGAAACCGATACCTGCGTTTTTCAATCGGTGATACAGCCACAGCAAATGAACCATTGCAGAAGCACCGTGCTGCGGTAAACACAGTCCGCCATACTCAAAAATTCTTAGGATGATCGCAAGCTATCGATGATCGAAAACTATACCAGTTCTTCACGAGGCAGGCTGATATTCAGAATAATGATGAGCTAAGATTTAATTTTTAATCACATTTAATAACCATACCGCTTAGGAAGCTTTGAATAGCAGAGTGTGCGATAGGATTAGGGTAACTTTTTCCAACGATCAAACGAGGAAACATAGAATACAGTAGTCGAAGTTTAAATCATTAACATCAGATTTCATATGTTTCATTTAATATTCCATTCCAGCAAAATGTGCGAGGATAGTATACTACGAACGCTGGATCTCCTGGCCGGCCACTACTACTGTGACTGCGGCCAGTGTTCGAGGTTATTTCACTCTAGTTACCCTTTAACTGCACTGAATTCTTTATCGCCTATGCATTTTTATATACTTGTGTATTTAATTGAAATATCTGACATTTATTTATGTGAACTGTGCGATTGCCTCTAGCTTGTATTCATTTTTCTATGTTTATTGTGCAAATTTAATGAAAAATTGTAACTCCACTGAGGCGAACCGTGTATTATATTATTGAATCTCCTCGTCTACTTAAGAGCTCAGCATGCTAGAAGGTTGAAAATAATGCTGAACCCTTCTATAAAGCACAGCATCATATTAAGCAGTTGCAACAAATGCTACAAAAACTAGAGCGCTGACTAACGGACAGTACGGGCACGACGACCGAAAAGTGGGCGACGTACGGGGCACGTGTACAGCGTACGACAAGAGCATTACGCCACAGCAAAACTTACGCCACTGGCATTACGTTCGCCACGATCACGACTCACGGCACGGTCACGTTCAGTATCATATAGGTGCGCTACGATTGGCCCGCGTATGAGAATTTGAATGTAGGTGTCAATTAGCAGAAATTTGTCAATTTGTAGACGCTTTCAATCTGCAGAAATTTGTCAATTTGCAGACGATGTCAATTTGTAGATTTATCGCGTTTCAATGCGCAGACGTCGCGAAAAATATGCGCACAGGATCGAGCATCTGAGTTATCGCAAGTATCGGGAGGTGGGGCGCCTGGCTGAGATGTCAGGGCGATGTCTCAACCAAATATTCCGTTCCGACAGTTGCATTCGAAAAAACTGAGATATGAAGGGTAGGAACAAGAGTAGCAATGCACTAGCAGCTGTAACAGGCTGCATGGTCGTGCCAGAACTGCAAGTGATGAGCTGTAACAGGTGCCGGGCAACAGCTGCTTCTGCAACTCCTTCATGCCAAGTGCAGCAATGATTGGTGAGAGTGTGCAGCTGCAGCAGCTGCTGCAGCTGCTGCAGTGTCTCTGCCAAGCAGACCGGCAGAACAAAGCAAGCCTAACATCAGCTGCATCATTGAAAATTATTACGACGGTTACAAGTAAATTATTGTAAAATGAGTTTGCAAGACTATAATTGACAATTATTGCAGTTTTTTAATGGTTAGGGGCTGATGTAACCATCACAATTTCTGAGTAACTCGCACCAGAGTTGCATGATAATATTCAACATGAGCATTCTTCATTTCCTAGTATGAACTAGTCACTAGTCTATTAAGTGCAGCAGATTTATAATAAAATATCATCAATGGTAATTATAGCTTCACAATTATTTTACATAAAATTTATTTGTGAGGTCATTACAGCAGTTCAAGTATATACACGACCTCACTATCCTCTCCTTCGCCCTCCTCCTCTCTCAATGATCTCACACCTCGAGGAGGTGCTATTGATCGCGTGGAGTACGCGCAACAGTAGCACTGTGCTTCACCTCGTTTCCGTCTCCCAGCGCGTTTAGATCGCATGAATTTCTAGACCCATGTCACTCTATCTAACATATTAAAGACATTCCAATTCCACCAGTCAATTTTCAACTGCTTAAACTAACATCAAACTTATTTATAGATATAAAGCAGCATACCAGAAGCTTACTTTCATCACACTGCAAGAGCGCCATCTCTTCTAAGTAATGTTTCTGTCACCACAAAAATTACTATCAATTTACTGTAAGCCAAATATCGAATGAAAAATAACTCCACATTAATATCCTTAGCGCGTCACAATGCGGCAAAATGATTCGAGTGCCTGATAATCAGTCAGGCTTTTGAAAAAAAATGTAAAATTCAGGTCGACCAATAACAAATCATCAATAAGTAAAAGGAGCTTTAGCAAACGCGCCTTAATAATTTTTGTAAAAGCTGCCGTAAGCATATTCTGCACACACACGTGCACTAGTCTGTTAGACCTTGAGTAATGGAGTCCATATTGGCGTACGGACAGAAACTTTGCAAAACTGGTAGACATTTTTAAGAGGTTAAAAACCAAAGTTTGAATAGCATAATAAAATTGTCCAAGTTCCGCTAATTATGAGACCACGCCCGACTTTAGCAAGGTCAGTGACCTGCTATTATCCAAGAGTACTGTCAATTACGGGCGTTGCGACCCATAAAGACCTTACGTCCGTCATTAAAAGTCCGCAACAAGGCCACGGCAAGCACCAGTGTTACTACCAAGCAACTTATCGATCGTACACCTTAGAGATATTCAACGCAGAGTCCCGCGTTTAAAGCACAGATCCTTCTTCGCAGCAAGTTGTGCTTGAAAACTCCCATAACTCTTAAACATTATTGTGTTAAGGATATCAAAGTTCATTTGCCACGATATCAGAGAGTTGATTACGCACATTCATTAGGAACACGTGGTTTTTAGCGGTCACGAAGAAGTGTAGAAGTGGCGTAGCATTGCAACGGTGGATGCGCACGCACCTTTAACAAAACAGGGCGTGTGCTCCCGACAAATTCCTGCCTCGCTTCAGGCTTGCCGCCCCCACCAAGCCCTGGTAATTGAATGTCTCGGCAGCGTCGGTGGCCACTCTGTGATCGATGGTTGGCCGCACGTAACTACGCAATTATTTCCCACTAAGTAGAGTCTCAAACACGAGAATAGGAGCAAGATTGTTCAACTATTTTTTCGAGTTATTTAGGTTTATAATTTAACATTTCAATTGCAGACAGGGGTATTATTTTGCGATTGTTTTAAAATTTTATTTATTTTAAAATATTTTGGAATGGAGCCACTGAAGCGGGTGCAGCCTTATACAGGTATATTATATACAAATACTCATTTCTCTAACGAAGAACACGATGGTAGAATTTAAACATTAGAGAACATTAAAAACTTTGGCAGTTGAAAATCTCTAAACGATACAAAATGACAGTAGAAAAAATTTACCTTAGAAAAGTTATTGTAAAACCTTAGCGAACACTAAACTCCCTTGCTTATCCATTAATGATCCGAGACGAGGCATCCTGGCAGGTAAACACATCACGACTTTCTAATCAAAATTTAATTACGACCTATTAACACAACCCGCCCCTCTCCCACCTTTGCCCATAAGTTCAATCACTTAATTACTCCACTGAGCAAACGGCAACATATTTTCTATCACTTGCCAGCAGCACAGCAACAACAGCAATCAAATCCGGAGACTTTTGATCGGTCACGAACAGCGGTTGCAAATCTCGTCGTGAGAAAGTAACTTTTGTAATTCCAAAATGGGAGCCACGCATAAAGCTGGGCAGGTGACAAATCAAAGCTCTGGCTTAGCATACGTGCATTTCTGCGTAGAAAGTATTTTCAAGTCGCTCTTAAGAAAAGATCGCGCCTCGATTCGCGTCTGGAGAGTTGGAAGACACTCGCTTTCTCGATTTCACCTTCAGGTTAGTTTCTCAAGTAAAGCTAACAAGAGTCAATCTTTCCAAAAAGCTTTGGTCTGAGTTTTTTGCTCTCTTTGTTGGTTCTTGTTTGAATTTCCAAACCTACACCCAGCTTCATGTTCGCATTTGCTAACGCTTTATATTCATAGCTTCGGCACGACGAGTTTCTATACTCAAAATATCTTCCCTTATTTCTTCTGTTCTCGAGTCCGCACTTATATGTGAATGTTCAACATGTTCCAGGCATACTGCCTCCATGCTTCCTAAGGAGCAAGGAAGATCTGCATCTTTTAAAATTTTTATCATGGCAATATAGATATGAATGAATTGTATGGCGACCTAATTGAATTGAGTTCGTCACAATTCCAAGTTTACTTTCCCTACTAAAGGCTATGACGCATTTATTTTTTTTGTTTATGATAACTAAGACATTTATGT